CTGCTTCCTAACTGGCTTTGAGTCAGCTTTGTCCTCACCTCTCCTCAGCTTGTTATCCCAGGCTTTTCACTCAGTCTTACTCTGCTTTTTTTTTTTTCTGTATTATTCATCCACTTCTTTACTCACCTGTGTGCCCAACAGACCTTGCCTCTTCCTTTTCAAAAATCATCTCCCAATGTAAGTATTGATGGGAGATTCCTTCCTTTCTGGGATTTGTCCCTGATTCCTCTTTGCCTTCTTTGCAAATCAGCCCCAGATATGTGAAAGATTAAGTATTTTTTTTTCCAATGCTTTTTATAGTACTGTGAGGGAGGGATAGAGCAGGCAGAAAATCAAATTAATTGAAATTAAGTACTAAAGAGCCAGAATTCTTTTGCTGTGTGACCTTAATCTGTTGGGTTTACTACAGTCTTGTCCTCAGGTACATAAATGTACACTCTTATTCCTTCATAAAATATGCATTTATAGACTTTTTTTTCCTAAAGTGCTTTGTTTAAAGGAGAAAAATGCAGATAAACAGATACTTAAGCATCTGTTATGCTTCTGAAAGTGTATTACCAAACCATTGTGAAATTAGCTGTTAAGCAGTGGATCATATTCAAAGCCAAAATGTCATTCAGAGTTTCTGGACAAATTGATACAGCCTGATGGATACAATCCATCATCTAAATGAGTACTCAGAATGATTGGCTTTTCAGAAAGCCAAGGCACAAGAAATGAGTCTGTGAGTGATCAACTTGTTAAAAGAGAGGCAAAATGTCAGGAATATAGAGGCAGCCCTTGTAGTAGACTCCAGATATTGTACTGCCTGCCATAGCATAGAACCACAGAGTGGTTTGGGTTGGAAGGGACCTTAAAGACCATCTCATTCCAAACCCCGGCCATGTGCAGGAACAACTCTCAGAGCTGCATCCAACCTGGCCTTGAACACTTCCAGGGATGAGGCATCCACAGCTTCTCTGGGCAGCCTGTCCCAGTGCCTCACTGCTCTCACAGTGAAGACTTTCTTTCTAGTATCTAAATGTACTGTCTGTCATTGTCCTGTCATTAAATGCACTTGTAGCCTCTCTCCTTCTTTTTTGTGAGATTAAGTGAGGGCAGGCCATTACATGAGTGGTGTGCAGTGAACTTTGCTGATGGGAGTTTTTTTTAAATAAGGATGGGACAGATGGTAAAAAATTCCAAATGGATCTTCTAAGAGGGAATAAGTGTAGAATTAAATGATAGGTTGCATTAATTTCTACCATTTGTTATAAATTAATTCAGAGGGAGGAAAAATTGCAACTGCACATAAAAATACCTGTAAAGTGCAAATTATTGAGCTTGTGAGAGTTCCATGAAGATGTCATCTTGGCTGCAGTCAAAAAAGCACATCAGTTGTCTTCCTCACCAGAAAAAGAAGAGACTACATTGCTATGTTGTGCTTACCACACTATGTCACTTGAGAAATCCTGGGATTAAGTGCATTGCATGCAGTTATTATTCTCTTGATTCTACCAGATATCAAAAGTAATGTCTTAGAACCCAGAAACTGTGGGAACGACTAAAAAGATAGCTAGAGGTGTGTAATGGTTGCAGTACAAGAAACAACCAAGTAAGTTCATGCTTAGTGCAGAAAGAAGGCAAGTGGAAAGAGTGTATAAAAGAGGCTTCTTAAGTTGCAGAGGGCATGGAGAAAAAAGTGGTCACTGATTTGGTGACCCCTATTCAGTACAAGAACTCAGAGACATCAAAGAACATCAGCAGGACCTAAGCTGCAAACAAAGAAGCAGAGAATTCTTCATGAAATACACAACTGAGCCATGGACCTCCTTGCCAGAGAATATGGTAAATGCCAACTATTTGTACATGCTCAGGAGAAGTCTAAGCAAAAGATAAATCTTTTATTCTTTTCTAGTGTTGTTCTTAACTCACTCAGGCCTTGGTCCAGACTGCTTCTCTGAGACTAACTTTGCACAAGAATATTCCTATTCATCTTACATCCTACAATTACAGAGGTTAGAAATGTGCAGGATAGAAAAAGAAGTTTGTGTTATAATCAGCATGAAAGAAAAAAAAACACCCTCTGATGAAAAATATAACAGCCAGACTGATTAATCAGTAAACAGCTAAGAACTGCAACAGCAGAATTGTGGCCTGCCATTTAGTCTTAAGGAGTGTAATCAATTGATAGAGCTGAGGGAAGTAAACAAAACTTCTGACTGGAAAATGAAGATTTTTAGCAAGAAGGAAAACACCAGTTTAGTTGAAGACAGCTGGACACAGTACTGAAGGAAATCAAAGATATCCAAACTCAAAGGAGTCCTGCTGTGTTTGAAAAAGACGAGACAAACAGCAAGTTTAAAACTGAGTGGATGTGTACAAATGTCACTGTCCTGGTGGGGAGAAAGATATATATGGGTAGACAGACATCGAAAGCCTGTACTTCAGTAATTCTTTGGCCTACAAATAAGCACTAGACATGCAAGAAATCCCAGTGACCTACAGCAGTGGGGGTAATAAACTGTTTATATTCAGGGATTCCTCCACAGCCATCCATTCAAAACTAATGGACTGCAGAGGTTAAGAACATGCTCTGTCTTGTTTTCCTTTATCCAGTATTGGGTAAAGATGTTGATATTGGCCGGATATCCAGGTTAAAATGTCCAGCAGAAACTAAAGGCACTGTCTGCAGCATTTCATGTAGATAATTTGCATGAATATCATATTACTTCTTTTGTTTCTATGGGTTTTCTATAATCCATGGAAAAATACATCCAATAATTAGGTCTTTGCTGTGTATACTGTAAAAATTAATTACAAGTTTTATAAATCTGGAGACTGTTTCTACATTTGTCTCTTAAATATGTTAGTCTACTGTAAGATACCAAGGCAGACATATGTTTTGGTCATACATACTGGATTAAAAACTCTATTGCAACAGGAAGGATTATGCAGGTAAGCCACTGACATTTTGTGGACAGAAAGTTCCTTTCCTGTCAAAGGAAGGAACTGAGTTAAAAAATAGTTCAACAGGACTAACAATGGCTCTTGGTAGCTATTGTTAAATATTAAACCTGAAAAAAAAAAGTAAAAATAAAAAAGGAAAAGTAAACTAGGCTTACATACATACATACTTACATATTTATATATGTATACATTTTCTATGAATGCTTAGATCTTCAGTATTTTCTCTTATGATAACATATATACAGTGTGCAAGATAAAGGTATAAAGTATGATTTGCCCAAATGTTACAAACACTCTTTCTGTAAGCAGTGTGGCTGGTGGTAACAATGGAAAAATTTCAGGGAGATAAAAAGCAAGAAGATGACAGCCTCAAATGGAAAAGGTGAATGATGAAACATTTTTTCAACACTGATACAGTACTATTTGCTGGAAACAGGGGGTTCTTGGTCCTCTGAAGAAGATAAAACTGTTTGTGTTTATATTAAGACACTTGATTAAAGATAATTTGATCTCTTCATTCCTTGTCATTATGGAGAAGGTGGCTAGCTAATAATACTTGTCTGCTGCTTAAAATTATTTTAAAAATATTAAAATTTATTAAAATAATACTGGTCTGCTGCTTAAAATTATTAAAAAATTATTAAAAAGTTAAAATTATATCTGGAGAGACCTGACCTGTTGTGGTTTCTAACCAAAAACAGGAATCTGGGGTAGAATCAAGACTCTAGATTTTAAAGATGGAACCTCTGTATTTCCTATTCAACAAAATGTAAATAAATAAACTAGCAATCAAAAAACAGCAACAACAAAAAGACACTAAAATAACGCAGTAACAAACCTCCTCCAAAATAGCCAATTAAATAACACCACCCCCAAACTCAAACATTTTATTCAGAGTAAAATGAAATTTTTCCTGTTTTTGTTTATTGATTGGGATTTTTCTTTCATTACTGCAAAAAACTTTGCTCCTGTCTGTCTTCCACTTCCCATCCTAGGTAAATCCATTTTTAGTTTTGATTCTCCTAAGGTATCTTCAGCCTAGATCTACCAAAAGCCCATTAGTTGATTTCCATAAGCAGAGCTTTCCAAGCTCTCTCCTCCCCAATCAGAAAGTGACAATTGCAGCCTTTGTTAAACGTCTGATGAATTAAAAATTGTTTGATTAATTTCAGGCATATCCTTGCAAAATTTCTCCTTGGGCAAGTGCTAGCTAGCTTTGAAGAACTACAAGTGGAAAAAAATGCTATTCATTGCGTTAGGAGGGAGGAGTGAAGTAAGACTTTTAACGGAAACTATTAGAAATGCTCAGCCACAGGATCTCTCTAGCAGACATGTGCAGCTGCTGAGGGAGAGACAGACTCTCAAACTACGTGCAGGGTGTAAATCTCTGTAAATATGAGCATTAAACTTAGAGAGCTTCTCAGAGGAAATGGTGTACTTCAAAACGTCTCAAATATAAGTGACAAAATCTGTAAGACAGTGCAGGTGTGAATCCCAGGCATTTGTTGCCATTTAACTGCTGCTCTGTCCTGTTCATACCTTCAAATTTGCTTCTGATAAAATTTGGCTAAAATGCCAGGAAAAATTTCCATTCCATATATTAATTTGTATCACTGCCTGTGTCATGCTGGATAGAATGATGTTGGAGGTCATATTTTATTGGATAAGTGGAGGTTGTGAGCAGGCAGGAGGGAAAGCTGGAGAAGCTGTGCTGCTGGCTGTCAGGGTACACAGCAGTTAAAGACAGGGCTGGACAATGACAGTGCTGGGATGGTGTACAGCAGAAAGGAGTGTCCACCCATAAATACAGTAGGAAGTTTTTGGCATGGTCTGACAGGAAAGCCTACACGGAGTCAGATTTCAGAGCTGGAGCAGTGAATTGAAGTGAGTCACACAGAGAGCCTGAGTGCTGCCTTTGTTCCACTTGTGTCTGAATGTTGGAGGTGAAACAGCAGGCTTCAGATTTTATTAACTTCTTATTTTCATAAACAAAAAACTCATGTGCTCTGCACTTTTTTCTTACTTACGTTCATTCCAGTGACTTTCAGAAAATGCTCTCGTGGTAAGAACTCTTGCTTCTAAATTTTTTTTTTTTTTCCCCCATGTGTTTCTGTGTTACACTCTTTGGTCTCGTTTTTCCCCTACCCCCCTTTTTATTGGCACACCTGCTCCAGGCATGCCTGGTGGACCTGGGACTTGTCGCTACTGCTCTTTGGCTTGTCAATCCATGCTGGTGCAGCAGCTCAGATCATAGAAGGTAAGGCTTCTCCAAATCATGTTTATAAATTTAGAGTAAGTGTGGATTTTAAGATTTGCTTCCCTAATATGGAAAGAGACTCTACCATTTCAGATCTTCATTTTATCTGCTGCTTACTGTTCATAATTTCATATAAGAAAGCTGCTGTGAGTTAGGAGCTTAAATTCCCATTCATTCCGGGTGAGGGTAAATAAATACATTGGTTCTCCAGCTCTAAGGCAGCCTATCATGACTGCTGTCTCAATATGCCTTCAGAGTGTAATAGTTAACAGAAAGTGCTTTAAAGAAATTCATAATACTGAATCTTTTTACAATTAGGATAGATAAATGTGTCACTGTGGGCATATCAGGAATGTGTCAGGCATGGTGTGAGTGCAAAGACATAGATGTGATGCTTGTTCCAGTGCATTGAGATTTCTCCTGGCAAGAGGATGAACAAATTAAGGTTTTCTAATCTCTTGAGTTACATGTTTCATTTTACCAGTCCAGTCTTCATGGACTTTCAATGAAAAGTCTTTTTGTAATTTCAGATCATATGTTCTTGTAACACAGCCAAATTCCTCAGCATCTCTGGAAAGTATAGCCTTACATTCAACTAGTGAGAGAGAACACTGATTTAAAAGTTTACATGTAATTTTGAGAAAATAGAAAAAGTTGCACATATTATTTTGCCATTAGGAATGGTGATATTTACACCAAAAAGTTTTTTTAACTACCTCAAAAAAATAGTTGGAATTTGTTATGCAAATGACCTCTAGATAACTGTGTGATAGGAGCATTAGAAAGTATTGATGGGAAGTAGATACCACACATGAAGACTTTAATGTTACTCAAGATTTGTTTTTGCCTTTTAATTGATACTGTCATAGATCACTGACACTTTGGCATCTAAAAGACAAAGCCCCAGGTAGTTATTTCAGTAGGAGGAAAAGCCACAGATTAGTTATCACTAAAACATGCTATAGGTACAGAGGAGAAATGTATAGTACTGTATATGTAATTAATTAAAGAAACAATCAGAAACCAGCTCTTAGAATTAAGAAATGTATATCTAAATGGTGACTGATATATAATATATTGTCTATCCATGGAAGGCAGATCCATTGCATCAGGTAAAAATGTTTTTCTTGAATGACAGTGCATGAGAGAGGTCTGGACAGGAGAGAACCAAATTCTGGCACACACACAAGCAAATAATCAGAAGATCACTAGAGCTGCAAGTAGAGTGACAAAAACTGCAAATACTTATTTGACACACAACTTCTTTTTTAGTGGATCTGTGCTTGTTTCTATTACCTGAAGATCTGGGGTTTTTTATATCTTCTACCTGTGAAAGTCAGATCATATGTTAGAAGTGGGAAAGATAATCACTATTGTTTCTGGACAGTTTCTTCCAGAGCAGGATTTTACTGCTGCTGGAAGGACTCCTAACCCTACCATGAATGAAGATCAAGGTTATGGAAGTGTCCTAAGATCACTGGAGACTTAGACACTGCTATGGGAATATGTTCCTTCATGATTGTCTTGTCCTTATATTCCCTACTCATTCATCTGTTAATACAAAAGTTCCTTGTTCCCAAATGTTTACTGAATTTTTTCACATCTGATTTTTAAGTGCTTGACATAATGGGGGTCTCATGCTCTCTATTACACAGCACCTTTTCCTAACACTTGGTTTAAATTATTTCATCTTTTGAAATTGGATCTTGAATACCAGAGACAGGAATAATACTCCTTTCCTTCTGGCTGTTAGAAATTCTACTTGTACCCTAAAAGAAGAGTTTCATACTTTAAATCTTTCAGTCTAAATATTGAGAAATAACCTCATTTTCCTTTCTCACAACTCCTTTCAGCAATAGAGTGCACAGAAATAAACTGTGTATTTAAAATGAAAATGCTTGGAGACATAGTGATGAATTGGCCCTCTGAATTAAGAGCCAAGTACATGCACTGCAAGGAAGTACCAGATAAGACAAATTCACAAACCTGAAAACAAAGCAGTTTTTAGGAAAAAAAAAAATCTAAACCCTCACAGTTTAGAAAAAATTGCCATATTTGCCTTCACCATCTTTGTCTTCTTGTTTTCCCCAGGGGAGCACTGAAATGTGGAGCAGGGTTGAGGGTGCTGAATAAAACAAAAGCCTCAGCAGATGTCCAGCAGAGGGCTTGAGTTTTTTCATGACTTCGTGAGATATACTAGAAAGACTTGTTAGAAGATTTTAGTTAGTTTCCTATCAGGATCGAAGTTTTGACCAAGTCTTGCTTCTCTTGAGGAAATTGTCTAGTTATGATTATTTCCTACATAGAAAATGGGCGGGGGCAAGGGGGAGGGGGGTGTGGTGTGGAAAGAATGATGGGAAGTTGTCATTCAGATGACAGTCTTTGAAATTGTTTGAGAACTTCTGGGCTCTAGTTTAACTTTTTAGTAAACCTGTGAGACGTTGAGTCTTTTCATTTAGAGGAAGTGTTGCTTTCATTTCCAAGTTCTAGAATTTCTGGCTATGATTTCATAAAAAAAAAAAAAAAAAACATAAAAAAAAAAAAAAAGGAAGTATAGGAAAACTTTTATTTGAAGTAATGAACTACTAGTTGTAAAACAAATATTTAAAATTTTGAAATATTTAGTTCAGAACTTTAAAATTCAGTTGCATCATCTGCAAATTCATGAGATTTTTTTTGGTCATTACTTCAACAAAACTTGTAAGAAATAATGTGACCTTGCTTCAGAGTGAAACTGAACAGGAATTCTGAAATCTCAGCAGTTTCTCTGAGTTAGAATGATGAATTTTACTATCTCTGTTAAAAGGTTTTTGTCCATTTCACTGCAGCTAGTACTGCACATGTGCAAATAGGAAGGATTAAAATGCTTCCTTCCTCTTTACCCAAATATAGTGTTATTTGAACCATGGGGAGCTTTTTCAGTTTTTCTCTTGTGTTCACAAAAATTTTGCAAATACAGTACCCTATTCTTCTTGGGTTTGTGCAGGAGAACTAAGATATGTTGGTGTCTTAATGAATTACTTGATCACTTCTTTTTTGTTCAATTGATAATTAAGCATGTATGGTTCTGTTCATAAAAGCATGGTCTGTCTTATCTGGTACTGCCTTGCAGTGCATGTACTTGGCCCCTAATTATGCCTGATAATGTATCTTGATTTACACTAATTATCCTGGCTGCTTTTAGCATGTTTTGCTTCTTCAACAACAAATTAAGTTAGTGAACAGAAAGTACTCAGAGCACAGCCTTGAACGTGCTGGCACCCAAACTGTGGACAGGCCTAAAGTCAGGAAATCTCAATTCAAACCCTGTTGAAGTTGGAGTGATAGATTCTTCCCTATGAGTTGCTCTAGCTCCTTGCAGAAGTGTCATTTATTCTTCTTGGACATCTAGACAATTGTCAGTTTCTCAGTTCTTTACAGTCAAATCAATGCCTGAATTAAAAAAAAAAAAAATTAAAATGTTTAAATGTGTGTGGTTCTGCAGTTTATGTTATGTTTATGAACTCTAAAAGAAGCTTTACAAATTTCTCATTGACATTTGGGTTTTATTATTAGCCAAGCTGAACAGCTCTTTCTTGGCCTAAGTAACACGCTTAGCAATAGTTTACATAAAGTAAATATTTATCTCTTTCATTGGTCCTCTGTACACAGAAAGGCTGTCATGAGGTTGTTGACTTACACTTTGCACTCCTGACCTGCTGCATTTAATGGAGGAATTGTGAACTATTGACTTTCATTGGCTGATGATCAGCTGGTGTGATTCTTACAAGCAGAGAATCAGAACCTCTCTTCACAGTGAGCTGACATAATGAGTGTAAACAAACATGCCTATGCATGTAAAATCTTGTTTCTACCAAGTAATTACTGTACGTGCTCTGGGTGTCAAATCTGTGCAATCACACATGTGATGGGGATGGCTCAGCCCATTCTTTCCAAAGACAGGACATAATTACAGTGATAATAAAGCACAGTCCTCCTTAAAGAGAACTCAGATGGCATTACAATCCTCTTGTACCAGACTGAGCTTTTGGACATCATCAAACTGCAATTGAGTCTAAATTGAATGAGCCACTGTGATCCTTCAGGCACATCTTCAAGCTGTTACCAGCTGTTGTGCATGTTTTAATGTGGAGCTGAGCCTGATTTCATAGTTGACAAAAGGCCTTTCCATGCAGAACATAGTGATTTACAATACAAAATCAGTTTGTTTTAGTTGGGGTCATCTCTTTCTGAAGAGATTGATAACACCAGTAGAACAAGCCTGACTTAGAAAATTTGTTCCATTCTGTCACTTTTCTAAATGGATTCCTTTTTGTGTAACACTCTCCACACGTTAATTCTCTTGGACAATAAACTACATGCTTCCTAAATGACTCTACCAGGCAACAGAAGACATTTTTTAGCTTTTTTATTTGAGGCCTCAGAAGAAGAAACCAGCTGGGGTAGATATAGTGTCTATATCCATAATATAATATGGATATCCATAATATAATATATAATGAATGTTTTCATTTCATCTCTGGAGGTGTCCTTGGGCATACTGGATGTCTGGAGTAAGCAGTTGTTTCCATGATCTTGACTAGAACTCAAAATCACATTTATGCTTGCATTTGCCACTTGCATTAAGATTTGAAGGATCATTTCAACAAAAAAGCATCAGAAGGAAAGATTTGACAGTATTACTTATGTTTGGTGTATTCAAAGGGTTCCAAAGAACATATTTCTTATTCTTTCCAAAGAACATATTTCTTATTCTAACATGTTAATTATGAGATCAAATGCTTGTTTTGGAGGATGTCTGTCCCTTTGGCTGTGATTTCTTCTCCTTTCCTTTGCTGTGTTAGCCATGGATCAGTTTGGTTTTTCTTGTAGTGGTGTTTCACATTCGACCAAATTCATGCAGTACCTTTGCCAATTTATGGACGTGTGTCTTGGCTAGAAAGACAGTAAATTTTACAGTTCAGTGAATTCTGATTGCTTTATTTAGGCTGTCATTAATG